AGACAAGACTGTCTTATTTTATCCCAGCCTCCCAGACTTTTCTTCCGTCTGAAATAATGAATACATACATACATACATACATACATACATACATACATACATACATACATACATACATACATACATACATACATACATACATACATACATACATACATACATACATACATACATACATACATACATACATACATACATACATACATACATACATACATACATACATACATACATACATACATACATACATACATACATACATACATACATACATACATACATACATACATACATACATACATACATACATACATACATACATACATACATACATACATACATACATACATACATACATACAAGTTCTTGAGGCGATACCTGGAGTGCTATGCCAGATGAATTACATTTTGGTCACGGGAGCAAATCTCTAAGAACACGACGAGAGGCTGCTGAAACATCTCTGAAGTTCTTGGGACACATCCTGAATGCGGAAGGAATCCAGCCAGGCCCTGAAAGGCTGAGAGCAATCATGGACTTCCGGGCACCGGTCACCGTTACTGAGGTTCGCCAGTTTATCGGCATGACTAATCAAGTGGGGTGATTTATACCCAACTTGTTGCAGAATCTAAAGCCCATCAAGATCTCCCTGGAAAAGACAGGGAAATGAAACTGGGACGTCCACCAGCAACGAATTTTCGACCAAGTGAAGCGAGAGATCACGGAATCTATAACGCTGATGCTGTATGAACCCTAACAGCAGTTAATAGTGTCGACAGAACCTCGTCGTATGAACTAGGTACCGTGCTGCTACAGAAGGATAGACAAGGACAGGTGCGCCCTGTTGCCTTTGCATCAAAAGGACTGAGCGAGACGGACGGAAGGTATGCGCAAATAGAAATGGACGGTTTGCTGTTGGGCATGCGAACGCTTTGAAAAGTTCCTGATAAGAACCAAGTTTCCTGTTTAAACGGACCACCAACCCCTGGTTGCGTTATTGGGTGACCGATAGTTGAATACTATCCCTGCAAGAATCCACAGCTTCAAGCTGAGGCTTGTGCGTTTCAGCTACTCCATGGAACATGTACCCGGAAAAGAGGTGTGGACGGCAGATGCTCTCTCGAGATCCCCAGTAGAGCCCCCAGAGAAGATGGAAGAGGAGTTAGAGGCGTATATCCAGCTGCTGACAAGCTTCCTGCCAGCTACGGGTCACTGTTTGGACGAAGTACGCATTACTCAGAATCAAGATCCCGTGTGGTGCAAGTTAAGAGAGTACTGTGCAAAGGGCTGGCCCAACAACACGTGCGTCCCACCAGAGATTGCTCCCTACTTCAAAAACAGAGACAGCCTCATGATGCAGAGCCATCTCCTAGTAAAATACAACCGGCTCGTTATCCCTAAGTCATTGAGGGAGAAAGTGCTGTGCCAGTTACATGCAGGTTAAAAAGGAGTATCCAAGCACAAAGAACGAGCAAGAGTATCAGTATGGTGGCCAGGACTCTGCACTCGGTTGCAAGAGGTGGTTGGAAATTTCACAAGCTGCATCCAAAAGTGCATATCAAAAGTGGAACCTATGATAGCATCAGGGCACCCAGACTATCCATGGCAACGTGCTGCAGCTGACCTTTTTCCATTGAATGGCAAGCACTACCATTGGTAGTGGTAGATTACTACTCCAGGTTCATAGAAGTGTGTCGACTGACGCAAACGACACCGGAAGCGGTTGTCGCACACATAAAATTTGTGTTCGCCCGTTACGGGGTACCTGAGGTCCTCAGGTCAGACACCTGACAGCAGTTTGTGTCTAAGCGTTTTCACTAATACACAAGCAAATACCAGATTCGCGACATGAAGAGCAGTCCACACTATCACAGAAGTAACGGAGAATTAGAACGTTCGGTAAAAGTTGCCCACGACATCCTTAAGAAGGCCGAAGACCCCGACTTGGCACTTTTGATCTACAGAACTATACCAGGCCCCTGCGGGTTCAGTCCAACTGAACTACTCATGGGACGGCCACTGCGTACAACGTTGCCTATGTGGCCATCACAGCTGATTCCGATAATGCAAAACCATCCGGATTCACAAAGAAAAGATAAAGAGAAACGGAGACAGGCCCAAGAGTACGGTCAACGGCACACAGTAAGCTGTCACAAGGAACCGCTCATCGGTGGATTTGTTTGGGTCAGAGACCCTGGCACTCAGGGGCAGATCGTGAGGAAAACAAAAAAACCGAAATCATATATTGTGAAGACACCATCCAGACAACTCGTCCGGAATACCTCTCATTTAGTCCCATCAGAAAAACCAAGAGAAGACGAAGAACTACATCTAAACAAGAGCCCGGTCTAAAAGTGACTGCTCAGATCTCGTGCATCAACGACGCTGACCCGACATCCGAACAAGTGTTCGATCCACAGCGAGATCCAGCTGTGGCTCTCGTTCCAGAGGATTCGGACATCGACTAAAACACAAAGGAAGAGGAGTCCTACAAGTACACTGGAGCTGGGCGACGAATCATTCGACCTCAGAGATCCAGGAACTAGTTCCACCTCCCCTTTAAAAGAAGGGGGGACGTGGTAATATTCATGTGTAAAAACCCCATAAAACCCCGAGAGGGGGCACCTAGTTGGGCGCGCGTGCGTGACCGAGCTCTCTGGTGTTGTTCGGTCTGTTCCGTTTCCCTCCTTGTGGTCAAACAAAATTATCACGACAATCACGACAGTTCTCAGCATGCGCTCTAAGCACCGCCCTTAGATACGGCTTCAAGTCAGAGATGAGCAAAATACATGCAAATATGTATCGAAATACAAATAAAAATACTTCGTCAAAAATGTATTTAATTACAAATCTAATTACACTTCCAAAAAAGCATTTAAGTACAAGATATAAATACAACCAAGTTTATTTGGTCTCCCTCCAAATACTTTTCCAAATACATTCCTCAAAATTTGCGTCAGCGAGTTCAGGGCACCTGCAACGGGTTTCTGGGTATCTCATTTTAATTTTGCATCGCACACTCGGGAGTTAGTGTGCGAGGTTCTAGTAACGCAATATAATTATAATCACAAAAAATGTAATCAGCTTGGACGTAACAGATGAAAAAAGTACAGAGCTTCAAGCAGTTTTTTTTTGTCGATTACATTTTGGTATAGACTAACAAAGAACCGAGACGACCAAGATGCGCAGCACTAGCTAGAGAATTATTTATTGTTGCAACTCGCACCAGTTACACAAATCTGGACGACCCGTGCACTTAGAATGCTCCAGGCAAAAATATGAATGGAACTCAAGCTGGAAAGCATCACAAGTTGTCACAGGCACTTATTTAGCCAGTCTGCCTGTGAACGTCGATTTCGTCACTATTCTTGCCCTGGACTAGCACCATAATCACAAAGTCACTAAACGATTGTACTTGATTGAGAAACACTGCATTCGGTGCAGACGTAGTTTTCTTCCTGCTCTGGACAGTAACAAAAAATTTGAGGGATGTATTTTCGCCCACAAAATTGTATTTAATTACAATTGTATTTGAAATACCCACGTTTCAGTATTTAAATACAAACGTAAAATACATTACCCAATTTGTAATTAAATACATCTGCAAAATACACAAAGTATTTGAAATACGTATTTCATATACTTGTATTTGAAATACTGCCCATCCCTGCTTCCAGTGAATACATGTCACGTGCTCGAGCAGCCTATTTTTGAAATATTTCCAGCGCCAAGACGACGCAATCGAGGGGAATAGAAACATACAAAAAGGCTCGAAGTACACCTAAGCACTTCTTATGAGTTGTGATTGCCAAAGCATGAATGTCGTTCTTGCGCGCGTCCTCGTGAAGTTTCCGCGCCTCGGTGCTGCAGGGATCGGCTGGCACGCTCGGGTGGCCGCCGCCCAAGCGCGCCAGCCGATTCCTTTTGCCGGCGCGCAGGCACACAGCGCCATGGGGTGGCGCTGATTAGAACTGACCCGCGGCGGCCTCCCTCGGCTTCGTTTACTTGCCGTTTTGAGTGGCTTCAAACCTGGGATGCCTCAGATCGCGGCTTCCCGAATTTATCTGGCGTTTGGCGCATCTGATGACGTCGGCTGGCTCCATAAAAGAGCTAATGCTTTCGCATTAAAAACAAAAGTACCTCAGTACCTCGGTCTTATGGCCCCCAAGTGCATGCGGTTTCTGGTCGGCACATCTACTCGGATCCCTGTGGGCGATAGCTCAAACACCCGTCTAGACGTCTCTCCGCTTCGGCGATTTCCTAAGTTCAGCAAGAACATTCAACTGCTCTGGCGGGCGTTAAGGCACGAAACGGGTCTATTACGAAGCAGCTTCTAAGCAACACATGGAAGGCAAGTGGCAAGATCTGCATGACGTGGCCCACTCAGAAAACGACTTGAAAAACAAGAGCGTCTCTCGTGGAAAACGTGGGAAACCGAGCCCTTGACGGGCTACCACTGGCAACTCGTCGAAGTGGCCTGCGACCGAAGTGGCGCCGTTCACGACCATGACAGGCAGAAGACTTTATCAGGCAGCTGCAATGCATGTGGTGTCCACGCATATATATAATTCATCGTGCATCATAAATATTACGATTTACACCCATTTCAATTTAACAGTAAGGACCGAGGTAAAAAAAAAAAAAACGCGCTAGAACGCTTAACGAATTCTCCGCCCCCATATATTCCAGAGGAGCAGCGTGACAGGGATAGTCGAGCGAAGTACAGATAATTTAATACTCGGCGCTCAGCGAACATTCAACTCTATAAAAACATACAAGAATCTGAACAGCGAACGATTTAAACAACACGGTTTAATAATCGAAGCATTAACGCCTAAATGAAAATATGTGCATAGCGTTTCTTAACTTTCGAAGATTTGTGGTGTCCATGGTGACCATAATTGAAGTACTGCAGCCAATTATATTTTTTCTTACACCCCGTGCGTGTGCGTGTGTGTGTGTTTTGTCGCCGTGCAGGCCCAGTGCGTTTTATGGTGAACGTGATGCGCGTGTCGGGCGAGTTCGAGGTGTGCGAGGCCGGCACGGTGGCCGCGAGCGGCCGCATCTTCCTGGCCGAGGACCGGCAGAAGCTTTTGGACCACGAGGTGCCCTCTGGGCCCCCGGAGTCCATGACCTTTGACCTCGACGCCGAAGACATCTACAAGGAGCTGCGCCTCCGGGGGTACGAGTACTCGGGAAGCTTCCAGGGCATCTTGAAGGCCGACATCCTGCGTAAGTCGGAAAGGGTGGGGATTTGGTGCCACGAGTGTGCCTCGGGCTCATGTGAGGGGCACGGTGCTTATCCGGTCCGAGGTCATTGGTAGGACTGGTTCACACACTTGCGACTTCTTACGAGGGGATTACGAGCCTTCGCCATAAGTGACGACAGAGAACACACTTGCATGCCGGCCTTATCTATGAAGAATCCCTGGAAGTGCACTGGACTGGAGCGAAGGTTTCGTGGTATTTGCGAGATTTGAGAGATCAAATGTAGATACTATCACTGAGACTTCTCGTTTATAACATTTTGAAAATGTTTTCGAGCCAACAAGGGAATAATGATGAGCGAAAAAAATTAATTACTGTGCAGGAATCGCAAGTGTTCCACGTGGCTCCAGTGTTTTCTCTCAAGAGATCACAAGAAACTGTAACGCACTCTGTCGTAAGCAGTAGCATGTATGTAAAGGAGCATTTACGACGAGATGCTTCATTCGATTTGTGCGTGTCATTTTAAAATAGTAGTCTCTACCATTTTGTTGATCGAGTGCAACTGTGTGCCCGTTGATACAGACCCCTACGGCAAACTCAAGTGGGAGGACAACTGGGTGACCTTTCTGGACAGCATGCTCCAGTTCAGCGTTCTCAGCAACCCTGTGCGCTCTTTCAACCTGCCCGTCAGGATCCACTCGTGCAAAGTGGACCCGGCCGTCCACGCCAAGGTCGTCGGTGGAGCGGGAGACCAAGGTGGGTGGCTCAGCACGACGCTGACGTAGCTCATTGCAACGCCTCGGAGCGACAATGGCAGCTTGGCGCACCTTGAAGCAACACCCAGCGAACCCGGGACTGTGCTTTACGTGGGGAGCTAGCGGTCGAAAAAAAAAAAAGAAAAAGTTAATTGGGGGGTAAAGAAATTTTTAAAGAAGCATTAGGAAGGGTTTACTCAGGGATGGGCAGTATTTCAAATGCAAGTATTTGAAATACGTACTTTAAACACTTTGTGTATTTTGCATTTGTATTTAATTACAAATTGGGTAATGTATTTGGATGTGTATTTAAATACTAAAACGTGGGTATTTTAAATACAGTTGTAATTAAGTACAATTTTGTGAGCGAAAATACATCCCTCAAATTTATTGTCACTGTCCAGAGCATGAAGAAAACTACGTTCCGCAGCACCGAATGCAGTGTTCACGTTCACATGCAGACTGGCTAAATAAGTGCCTGTGACAACTTGGGATGTTTTCCAGCCTGATTTCCATTCATATTTTGCCTGGAACATTATAAATGCGCGGGTCGTCCAGATTTTCGTAACTGGTGCGAGTTGCAACAATAGAAAATTATCTAGCTAGTGCTGCGCGTCTTGGTCGTCTCTGTTCTTTGTTGGTCTATACCAAAATGTAATCGACAAAAAAAGCAGCTTGAAGCTCTGTACGTTTTTCACCTATTACGTCCAAGCTGATTACATTTTTTGTGATTATATTTCTATTACGTTACTAGAGCCTCGCACACTAACTCCCGAGTGTGCGATCCAAAATTAAAATGATATACCCAGAAACCCGTTGCAGGTGCCCTGAAGTCGCTGACGCAAATTTTGAGGAATATATTTGGAAAAAGTATTTGGAGGAGACCAAATACATTTGGAGGTATTTGTATCTTGTACTTAAATGCTTTTTTTTTGGAAATGTAATTAGATTTGTAATTAAATACATTTTTGACGAAGTATTTTGTACTTGTATTTCGATACATATTTGCATGTATTTTGCCCATCCCTGGTTTACTGTTTATAGAAGGTTTATTATCATTACCTGTACCGTGTGTCTATGCATTCATCTAACATTCCTGTCACGCAGCAATGAGATGCTGACACAATCTGAGCCAGTAATCTAGTACATACGGTAGCATCGATCTACGATGGGGATGTAAAATGCACCGGAAAATCCGGCGCCTGCACATAAAGAGCTAACAGTTTCAACGAAGGTGTATTTTAATTGGGGACGCATTCCTCTGAAATGTCTCGCCGCAGCCACATTCCTGAGAAAAAGTCTTGCATTTTTGAAGACTAAAAAAAAAAAAAATTACCACTGGGTGGGCGCGTTACGTCCGTACTCCGGGACGAAAGAGTTTGACGCTCCTTTCACTAAACAGAAAGGAGTGCCACCGGAGACTGACACTCGAGCGCGCTCTTCGTGCATCGAGTATTTCTCAGAGCGCGAGTGACTTCTTCGCGTTCCGTGACGTCCCGTCCACAAACAAGATGGCTGTGCTGTTGTCGAGACCACCGAGACGAAAGGCGCAGCCGGACCATGGCCCCTTTTTAGTTGATTAATACTTCTTCCAGCGGGTAAAAACGATTTGATTTGAAAGCCCAGAGAGAAATGAGCGTTCCGGAAAAGGTTTGTTCGTGCATTTCGCCTGAAAACGAATTTATCTATCAAACGGTAGCGTGCCGATAGCAGAGCGGCAGGAATGTTGTGGAGATGAAGAGACATGCGGTCATTACCCCTTTATAATGCTTAGCTCAGTGAATAAAGATACTTCAATTAGAAAGCCGAAACACCAGTTAGCGTTGAGGAAGAAGTTTGCTCATGCGTCTTGACTGAAAAACAATTGATCTGTCAAACGAGAGTGCCGATAGCTCAGCGTCAGAAAAGTTGTCGTGCTGAAAACACAGACTGCTGCCCTTTTAAAATGCTTAACCCAGCCGCAGCAAATAAAAATGCTCAGATTGGAAACCCTAAACATCAGTTAGCGTTGCGGGAAAAAGTTTGATAATGCATCTCTCATGAAAACGAATTCATCTTTTGAACGGTAGCGTGCCGACAGCACAACGACAGAAAAGGTTTCGAGATGAGAAGACAGTCGAACCGCTGCCTTTTTAGGGGCGAAGCTCCTTAGGGTATAGCCTTGTCCGACGTCCGTGCTCACATCGATTGCACTGCCACCGGCATCGGCCATCTTAAAAAAAAAGAAAACGTACGCAAGCACGGGGGTTCGAACTCACGACCGCTTGCTTACAAGTCAGACGTCTTAACCACTAGGCTATACTCCAACGGCTCCACTCCACTCCAGCGTTGCAGAAAAAGTTCGTTCATGCGTCTCGCCTTAAAACGAATTAGCGTGCTATCTATTGAATTACAGTGTGCCGGCATCGGTGTAGCACATCGACGGTTTCAGTCTCGCGCTGCAGGACGGAACCACGAAATATCTGACAAGTTTAAGAGTTTCCTGCGTCGGCAAACGGGTTCAAGAAAGTTGTCTTCCATTGAAATCTGAACTGCATGCACGGTCAATAAAGTGATCGGCCAAGGTAACTTTCCGCATATATGCTCGAAGCGAGTCTTCAAACCTTTTAGGAATGTTACAACGTCCTTAGAAACTTCATAACGTCGCTGCCCCTTTTACTTTAATCTCTGCCTCTCCACACAGGCCAAAATAATTTATCTTCGGAAAAATTTCGGCTTCTGCCACCCGTTTCCACGAGATGCCGGGTTCATCCTAACCGTGCGGTCGGAAGCACCTCGTGTGGCTCGTCGATAGTTTCGGTGTGTTTCACTCCTGTACGCCGTGCGCCATTTAGTTGCTGCGCTCGGAGTATGAAACTCGGAGCTTCGGAGTCGCAGTAAAGGAGCGCGGACTTAACGCGCCCACTCACTAGCGATGCCCTTCTTTTATTTCAGCGCGTTTCCTGATTCTACGGCCGTCTTTGAAAAAAGGGTAATACAGTCTATGTGTATAATAGGGTGCCCGCCTGAACACAGCAGGCTGGCTCGCTAATAACCAAATGGTGTTTCGAAAACCAGACACAGAAAGACAGGCGAGAATGCCGCGATTCTTTGATGTCTCTGACGATCACCGTGATAGCGGCGCTTCAACACAGACTGCAGTGCGATCTCTCCCTTGACAACCTGCGTCGCCTGCTAAGGCCTCCTCTTGCCTTGGGAGTTGGGATACTTGGTTTCCTCAACTTGCTACATCCGTAGGCAGTCCCTCGTTCAAGGACTTAATTCTCGCGCGGACCGTCTCCCCGCCTCGCACTTCGGCTCACCCCACGGAAGCAATTACATGACCCTCGTGGTTGCTCAGATCGCCAAAGCATACACAAAAACAAAAAAACGTAGTTGTAACAAAAAAAAAAAACAAAAAAAAACAAAGCTAGAAGAAATGTTTTGTGTCTTTTGAGAAACACCATTGCACAAAATTGAAGCAAAACGAAGAAGCTGGCTGGCTGAGTGGACAAAAACAACGCACTGCGCGTTCCCGCGCATGGCCAACACGTGAGTGTAGTATGGGAGAGTCCTAAGGGAAACGACCAAGCAGGGGTAGCGAGGAGATCTCCCCGACTGTGCTATGCGGGCCCCAGGTGCCGGCTTTCTTTTTCTTCCCATTTGTCGGAGCTGCCGCGTCGTCCGCAGTTTCCTGACACTTTGCTTAACTTCGTAATTTTTTTCTAGAATTTCTTGGGAAGACGGATGGGAGGGGAGAGAGATGGGAAGGTGACAGGGTGAAGGTATTGTTCAGTAGGCCTTCAGCCAAACGCACGGGGGCTCAGCATATTGCCCACATTTCCTGGAAAATGTCAGCGGGTGCTCACGCCCCCGTTGCTCCCCCCCCCCCCCCGATTCCCGGCTAGCTTAATGCAACACTGGCACCTCTAGTTCAATGTTAAAGCGTGCTAAATAGATGAGCATTATGAACAACAAATAGCGCCAAGGACAGACAAGAACACAAAGATGGGACAAGTGCTAGACTCGTCCTCGTTCTCTCTTTCCTGTCCTCTGTCCTTCATGTTATTCATTGTTCAAGACTAGTTGCTCGGTGCCACCCCTCGGTGTAACATGCAGTAGCTTCGTGCGACGCCATGTGTCTTAGACCGAAGTTAAAAAACTGCACGCAGGTATCGTACTCTGACATTAAACCAGGTATACTTGGGAGGGGGGGGGGTTACCTCAAGCCAGTTTCATCTACATACACTTCGTAACACTGCAAGCCCAAGCACGATATCTGCGCTATTTCACATTTTACTTCTAAGGCTATTGGGAGGCATCTAATTGTACCAGATAGGTTTGTGCTCATAAACAGAACCTGCCACCACAATAGCACATTGTATATCTCCCTAATGAAAATCGCTCTGATGTGGACTTCAAAAAAATTTTTAAAGGGTGTGAAGGGGACTTCAGGAATTCCTGACATGTTTGAAGGTGACTAACAGGCTGTAGTTGGGTTTGTTGGTGCATAATACAAAAAAACGACAGCTGAACTTAGAAAATAGAATATAGAGAGGGAAGGAGACAAGCATACCGCTGTATGTTTGAAAGGGGCACCAATATTTGCTGGTGGGTTCGTTGGCCCCGTCAGAAGCTCTCCTGAAATGTCTGAAGTGCCCTTTACAATGCCTTGAAATGTCTGAAAGCCTGTCACGAACTTTTCTAGTGGGGTCAGGAAAACCTTCAGGCTTTTTGAGATGTCTGTGGGCCACGGGTTAGGTGGAGAAAACACATTTCGCAGAATTAGAACATAGCTACGTATTTTTCGCGAAGGGGACAAAATAAGTATTTGGAGAATGTCGATCGTATGAGTGTACAGTCAGATTTTTAGTACTGTTATTCTATCAAACACGACTGGGCTGCTGGACCCGTCTGTCACTGGCCGGGTGTTCGGTCGCCAAGGGGGCTACGGGGGGCGACCGCCCCATGTGGAGAATTGACGAGGCGCGGGACGAGTGTTGTCGGCCGAGCGGCGTTTTGAGGCAAACAAGCTTTACTTGTTGCACCAATAATAATAAAAAAATGGCAAGTCGAGAGTAGCGCGTTGCCCGAGAACAGGGACGCGGGGGAGATTGCGAGGGCGAAGCGGCAGCGACTCGTCCCGGTTACCGGTTCCTCCACGGGGGACGGTTCCCGAAGAGGAGGAAATAAACAGAACCATTTTGCTTTTCACCAGAGTCGGGAGTCCTCTCTTTTTCGTCGTCGTCAAAAACTCGAACAGGCAACTCAAATTGTCCCCCCTCCCCATCTTTTACAACGCCTATACACACACACTGCGCTTCTCTCTGTCCGGCAATCGGCAATGGAGAGAGGGTGCAGAACCGCCAGGGACGGGCAACCTGCTTCTCCAGTGGTAGGCGGGAGAGAGTAGTGTGAGGAAGCCGGGGAAGCCAGGAGGCCGCTATAGCCATTTTCTTTCCACTCGTGGGCGGTTTGTTTCTTACCGCCGTGGATATCTGGAACGGACCGGTTTCCTCCAGAAAGGTGAGCATGGCTTTGAGGGCTCGCATCTTGTTCTCTTGGGCTCTTGGGCGCTCGAGCGGCGCCTTCAGCACCGCTCGAGCGCCATCGTGTTCAGCACATTCAAGGATATGGTGGCCGGTGTCAGCCTACCCGCCGCAAGCCTGGCAGTCGGGATCAGCGTCCCACTGCAAGTAGTGCCTGCATACCGAGATCATGGCACTGTGGGTCCTGAGACGGTGGATGACGGCCGCTTTCCCGCCTTGTTTCTTGCGCCTCTTCCTCCGTCCGGCTTCACAAGCATCCCGCGAGCGAAAAATACGCCGAAGACGCCGCTCCGACGGTATCGTGGACGAAACCGTGAGTGTGCTCGGGATTTCTCAACGGTGACGGGTGCTGCTTGCGAGTTCGTGATTTTCGCTAAACGTGCTTACTAAGACTGTGTATATGTACTACGTGAGGTACACCTGCTCGGTTTTCTTAGTTGAACTACCGTACATCTGGAATTTACTCAGCAGCATTGTGAGTACTTTGAAAGATATTTTTCTCTGTGATAAAGAAGTCAGTTGTCCGTGTTTGATGTGATCTCTTTCGTCTACAGCTGCTTGCGCCCGGGTTTGAACATGTGTTGGTTTTTATCATCTTTTTGAGTTTTAATATGCATTTGAAACTCAATGTCCGCAATAAACTTCAAATAACGTTTTGAACTGCATTTTTGTCTATGGTTCACAGTCATTTGGGCGCCTAAAGGGTTGATGGGCTAAGGGGTTTGAGTTGAAAGGTCGGACGGGTTGACGGGCTGTAGGGCTGGAGGGTTTTTCTGCGGGGTATGCCTGAATGGTTTTTCTTAGGGTAGTTTTGAAGGATTTTGAAGGCCTGTGAGGTCCCATAATCCTTCAAGGTTGATGGGCCTCTGAGAATTATTTTCAATAGGGCTGCCCTTTCTTTCTAAGAAACACGCACAAAAAATGGCGATCACTACTTTGTGAAACAGTGCTGCACCGTGTACATTCTTGACAATATCATTAGGGTGCACAGTTTTCTCAGGAACTATGTTCGAGGTATATTTTTGCAAACTAGCTAATAGCTCCGCCTTTCACGCTTCTCGCGAAGGAGTGGACGTGTTCTACGAGAAGTACCTCAACGCCTTCCGCACCGGCGGCGTGGCCATCAAGGGCCTCGAAGCAAACGTGGTGCCCCGCCGGGCCATGCAGCAGGAGCCATTTCTTGAGGAGTACCAGTTCGTGCCGTACCTGGACGACGAGTCGGCTGGCCGCCAGCGCGAGGCCGCGGTCCTCGAATATGTCGAGGTCTGCAGCAGCGTGGCCCGCCGCGTGCTCGAATCGTCCGGAAAGAACAAGGTTCAGATCTCGGACATAATGAACAGGTTTCGCGAGGCTCCCGAGCAGGTTTTGCACAAGTACCTGGAGAGCCTGGCCGAGAACCACGGGCTGTTGCGCGTCCTGGCCAGCGTCCAGAACGAGGCCAAGAGCTCGGCGGGCTCCCTGGTGACCACGGTCCAGTCGGCTCTGGCGGCCCACAAGGAGGACCTCGAGAGGGACCTCCTCAACACGGCCCTCCTGAAGGAGGACCCACTGCGGCACCTCTTGGACGTGGTCGTCGAGAACACCGGCGTCAAGAGGCTAAAAGTCCTCGAAATGGCCGCGGATGCGGTCCCCTTGCTCCTGGCGCCCCGGGTATCCGCTCTCCTGGCGCTATCCCACATCCTCCTCAAGACGGACCTGACGATTGCACATCCGCAGCCGGATGTCTTGACGGAAGAGCAAGTTCCGGAAGACGCCAAGAAGATCGCCTGGGATGTGGCATCTCCGCCACAGACCGCGCTTGCCGAGGCTGACCTCCTGGTAGCCCGTGACGCAGCCAGCAGCGAGGCGCTAGAGGCGCTCATGGACGCGCTCGCGGCTCACTCGAGGGAGGGCGGCTTCGTTCTGCTGTCTCTGCGGACCGCGCTCACGCCCGCCGAGATGTTCCTGTCGAATGTGGGCAAGGTGCCGCTCAGGGTGCACTCTCGAGACTTCGTCGAGGCTTCCTTCAGAAAGCGCGGCTTCCGGGTTGTGGGCCTCCGATCCAACAATTTGTCTGCGCTCCTGCTGTTCAGAAAAGGGTCGGCGACGCCGGCCGGTGCAGAAAAGCAGGCGGTAATCCGGGTCGGAAGTGGCAGGTTCGACTGGGTGGAAGAGATCAAAGCCAAGGCGATCGAGTACCAGGAGCAGCCGGCGGGCGAGAACGTCTGGCTGGTGGCCGAGGACGTGGGCACCAGCGGGGTCGTCGGGCTCACCAACTGCCTCAGGCAGGAGACTGGAGGGGACCACATCAGGTGGGCAGTCCACGTTGCGGAAGCGAACGGTTCCGGCAGTGTGCAAGCGTCCGAGAGAGGTTTCGGTTTATCGTTAGAGTTCCACAGGCTGCTTAAATGTACCTAACCCTGGTCTTATGAAGCATAGTGTAAGCTGACAGTTAGGTTGAAAGTCTCCTGTTACATTTGACACAGGCATAGCGATGTCCTTGAGACTTCTTTCTACCTATAAAACACGTTCTTCAGAGCGTGGCTTGTAATTTAGACATCCCGCCTGAAGCGAATCTGTTTTTTCAACTGCCTTCGTTTAATCCATTGTTCTTTCATTGTGTTATTCATTGGCTATTTTGGTGTAGTGAATTCTTGCATCCCCATATACCTGTAAGATCATTCAGGCATAGTCTACTGTTTTTAATTCCAAGGTGTTATACTCGCTTTGGTTCCGTAGAAACGTTTATGTTCCTAATATCTTTATTTTTTGCCTGATCAGATTTTTATTTGACGTCGAAGCGTGGGTTAAAATTGTATCTGCGAAAGAACTTTTTTTAAATTTTGTAGTAATATTTTGTCTTCATATTCTTATTGGTATTTGTTTTTTTTTAATTCTGCGCTGATGTTGCTGACTACCGGGTACAGCCCGACAAGCCCCTGGGACTTGGGCTGTCCCAAACCTAATTTGTATTTTTATCTGCAACAAAATTATTACCATTATTATTATTATTAAGCGGGGTTCAAACACAGCTCGTACAGTTTAATACATGACACAAGTCCCTATAAGTAGTGAGAAAAAAGTGAGGATGTCATGTTGACAATGGGTTGGGCAGTGTGCTTGACAGTAACGTGCCTAATCATTGTGTATTGTGGGCTTTGGGGCCCATTACTGCGCGAAGGTACTCGTGCTCCGCGCCCGGCGCGCAACGTGCGCTCGAGCCACGCTCGAGGCTCGGGCTGCCGGAGATCATCCACCGCAAGCATAAAGTAAAGATGTAATTTTCTGAGATCTGCCTCGTGGGTCCTTCTTTTGGGTGAGCAGTAGCACCGAACCCTACAGTATCCAACGGTCTTCTAACCAACCATCGTGAACCTGTCTTTGATCTGTCTTTGACCGAACCGTCTTGGACGTAGCTGTCAGTGACCTAGCTGTCTTGGAGCTAGATGTCTTGGAGCTAACCCGATATAGTGAACTTAAATACAGTGTACCGAACCATGGCTTACCTAACTGCAGGTCACCTAACTTTAGTGTGGTCCTTCTCACAGATGCGTCTTCAATGCCAGCCTCGAAGGCGGCGCAAAGCCAGTAGCCGACTTCCAGCCGGCCAGCTGGGAGCACAAAGAGCTCGTGGAACGTGACCTAGTCATGAACGTCTACCGCGACGGAAAGTGGGGCTCCTTCAGGCACACCGTGACGCAGTCACGTGAGTGGGGCTTCATGCAGCCTTTTTACCTAAGGACTAGCACTCCCTGGGGTCCAATTTTGACCATAGTCAGCGAGAGCGTTCTCAACCTCTGATTGGATGTGGCGCCACAGCTTGCGCGCAATCAACTAACATTACATTTTTAGAGCGCAGCTCTTACGCTCCCGTTTTCGGCTTGAGCGGCGTCGGCGTAACCGTAACGCGCCGGCGTAACGTTTTTTCGTGAAGCGTTGCCGTCACTGTCGGCGTAGCCGTAACGCGTAGCCGTAACGTGTCGGCGTGACGCGTCGCCGTCAACGCAACCGTGTGGTGCATTGTGAGAAACGTGCCATAATTCACCGCAGTGACGCGCGCGTTGCAATATGGGACATTTTTCATAATTAACCACGCGGGAGGGAGGAGGAGAAAGTGGGAGGAGAAAGAGGGAGAAGGAAGAAAAGAGGGGGAGGAGGTGAGGAGCAGGGGAGGAGTAGATCAGGAGGCAGGAGGAGAGGCGTACAGTCCCCTCCGTACCCTGTCCTCCTCAAGAGCTGCGCTCTAATTCGGCATTACAAGGAGTTGTAAACGTCTTTCATGTATTTAACCAATCGCGAGTTTACAATCGGGCAAATATTTTTGGTAAAAACGTTTCATCAGCGCATACAAAAAGCAATACAAGGTTTTGCTGCCCCTGATGTGTTTGTTCTCAGTCGTCCCGTTTATACCGAACTCCGTTGTACACGCACTTTAGTTCGATATATTCCATATTTCGCTATATGAAAACCGGGCCTACCGCAAATTTTTAAGGCCGGGCTTTGTAATGAACAATTATTCTTTTGACACTACGCTAAACACGCGCTTTAAAGAATTCTTAAGCGGACCGCAAAAAAAAAAAAACAAAGAAAAAACAAACATTTATGAGCCGCAAAAAAAAAAAAAAGAAATAACAACGAGAACGTTCTAGGCGGGCTAACTGCTGGAACAAGAAATAGTTCTTGAACTGTTTATTCCGCGACGACGTTTGCACAACCAGAGCACCAAGGCGCGCGTGGAAAGAAATATCTTAGCGTTTTAGCTGACCGTGAAACTATTTCGTCTGGGTTTAGATCCAAAATCTGCTGTATAACAGTCGTGTCCTCGAAAGAAATGGGTTTTTGCTGCCGTGAAGCCAGAGTACGGCCACAACCAGCGGAACTGCACAGAGACGAAAAAGAGAGCCGCGCAAAGCAGCCGAGCCGCAGCGTGGATTACTGCTTGCACACGAATGCCGCGGCGTCTCCAGCCGCGAAGGCTTCATGATTGCAGGCCCCGGAAGTTTGATGATCTCTAAAATCTACCCTGCGCCAAGGAACCATTTCCAGCTTGTCAAGGAATGACAAAGACTGTTGCCATTTCCCGCGTAAACCGGATTAGCACGCGGAAGTAAAAAAAAAAAAAGAGCTAACAAACGAAACTTGGCGGTTAAGGAGCCGCCGACGCGGTCTCTGAATGGCTTTAGGCACTGACAGAATAAGAACGGCAGGGCGCGTCTTTCGAACATTCGGCCTTCAGCTCTCGTTCCGTGCCTTCCGTCGTGCTCTACCATGCACGCGCACGCTCGTGGTGCACGAGATGTTGGAGCGTCGTCGGAGGCAGGGAGCTCGCTCTGGAGACTAGCAATGAAACTCCTCCCTGCCCTTGTCATTTTGTCGCCGACTGTAGTGACGGAGCGAGACAGCACCGTTTCTCGGCGCAGGGTCTAAAATACAAACGGCCGCAGTTCACACCCGCACGACAGAACGACAAGACAGCCATGGGCTGCAGCCGCGTAAACGAACGTAACTCGACTCGAATGGACGAGCGACCGTTGTAGTGACGTCGTCCGGTAAGGGACGAAGTCACTCCTTACGACGGCACTTGGGCGAAAAGTTCTACCACAAGAACGGTAACATTAGGGGCCGATTCCAGTAAGACTGGTTTCGGTGCCCGGATTACGTATCTTCCGTGAAATGGATGCACGTCGAACGGTTGGTGTTCCGTGCTCTGGCTCGAGTTAACAGAGACAGTAGCTCGTGACAGACATGACATCTTTTGGCTCTGTGTTGCTATCACCCGAATATTCGTGGAAGCAAGTGCACGTGTTTGTGCTTTTATTTTTCGTAACTACTCCAGGTGCAACCGGTTGCCAGGGGCACTTACCGTGTGTAAGCTAGAGAGCCTAGATTGAAGAGAGGGTCCATCTCAAACCATGGGGAGCGTCTTTGATTTGATCGCCAATGCCTCCTGCGAGTGCCTCCTGATGCCAAGTGCGCATGCACTGCGCGTGGAGAGGAGGAAAGCAGGTGGAACCGTTTGCTGACAATCGACGCGGTCGTCACCGCCTCGCCCGCTCGTATTGCAAATGGGGTCCGTAAGCCACATGACCGCGATCGAGCAGTTGGAAACCCTCCATGATCTCGGCTCTTCAGTATGCCTTTCCGCGGTCACCTGCATGCCGAGCACGCCTCGAACTAAGTGCAATAAATACAATCGCTATCAAGACTGGACCCCGTCTCGACGGCTCACTCTCGGCCCCCAGCCGGCACCCCCCGGCTGTGGACGGAGCACGCGGTCCTCAACGTGCAGACCCGGGGTGACCTGTCGAGCCTGCAGTGGTTTGAAAGCCCCCTGCGGTACCGGCCGGCCTCGGACGACCGGATGCTGTGCAGCGTCTACTACGCGCCCCTCAACTTTCGCGACGTCATGCTGGCCACGGGCAAGCTGGCCCCGGACGCCCTCCCCGGTGGGTGCATGTCGCTCAGCAACGCTGCGGATCGCTTTTAGTTCTTTTTAGAAGGGTGGTGTCTCCCGCGGTGACGGACGTAAATAGATCCTTTCCGAAATTCAGCTCCGCCACTTTGATCACTATCGTCTTCCGTGGGATGGGATACTAATGTAAACGACTTTATTTTCGTGGGCTCGGTACTTCGCGAATTTCACGTGTCAGCTGCTTCGGCAGTACTGGCAATCAGAGTGCCGGGCCTTCCAATTCAGACTTTTAACGCCTTTCAGAGTTGAAATCGGAGGATCCGATGTTACTGTCCCACAGACCAGCTCTAAAGTCATCCGGTTCTAAATCCGAAACCGCCAGAATGTTCTGTAAGGGGATGCATGAAAATAAAATTTAATAAGAAAAAAGGTGACAACTTTTTACCGTCAATATTTTTATTCGATGCTTCTAAATCTTAGAAGCTTGGGTGCAACGTACGCGCTCCCGCTAGATAATTGAGAACAGCCCGCGTATTGACCTTCGCTTCGAAAACGAAACCCGGCCTCTGGGAAGCCCGTTTTGGGCAAAAACTCGACAGTCAAATGGTTAAAGTGCAGCTGTCTGGGCTTTTGCACATTCTTCCCTCCTCGAGCTAACGGGTGCACCACTTTCATCTTCGAAACCGACAAGAAGGGTCGCGCGTTGCGTCTTGAGATGCAGGCAATCTAGCGACGTCGGAGTGCGTGCTGGGGCTGGAGTTCTCCGGGCGGGACCCCTCGGGGCGCCGGGTGATGGGCTTGGTGGTGGCCGGGGGCATGGCGACCGCTGTGGCGGCCGACCCGGACTTCCTGTGGGAGGTGCCGGCGGACTGGAGCCTGGAGGAGGCGGCGACGGTGCCCGTGGCCTACTCGACGGCCTACTACGCCCTGCTGGTGCGGGGCGCCATGCTTCCCGGGGAGGCCCTTCTGGTGCACTCGGGCAGCGGAGGCGTCGGCATGGCCGTAATCTCCATCGCCCTCTCCATGGAGTGTACCGTCTTCACCACCGTCGGTGGGTGGGACCCTCCTCACTTAAATACCCCGTGTAGGGGCAAGAGTCGCGGGTGCCGACGTCGGAGGTCTTGAGACAAGAAAACGAGAGCAAAGGAAGAGCAGAAAAAGAATGCGAATGATTAGTTGGACGTGTTGACTTCGCTGCGACGAGTCCAAAATGTTAGATTGGTCGTCAGCATTATCTATTTTGAAGACATTGCACGACGTCGGCGTTTTTTTTTGCGAAATAAGCTAGAAACGTGTTGGATACATATCTTACGGAGGACGTTTTGCTGGCGAGATGGGCTCATCGGGACCACATACTGGGACCACCAATGTCTATGTCTATGCCCCGCTGTTACAAAGGGGCCAGAACGAATGGGACCTTTACATTGTTGTACAAGAAGGCAGGAAAAAGCTGCTAAAGCGAACGAAACCCAACAAAACGTCCGAAGATAAGGTCACCGTACGCTTTGACAAAGTGAAAAAAAAAAGACCAACTGTATGCATGGGATAAAAACAAGAATGACATCACTCCCCTGCCTGGAAGTAGTACCCAAGAATGACCGCGTCCAAAAGCTGTTACTAAAAAGTCTGCAATAGAAATACTAAACGTTAACGCATGAAGCTTGTTCAATACACTGGAAAAGCCTGAGGCCATGCCTAATAAAAAAAGACCGTCATAAACTTTCTGATGGTTCATCAGGCTGATGGCCTGTCGTATTTTGGGACATTGATGGTTTAGTGGTGTGATGGTTTGTCGTATTTTGGAATATCTGACGGCTTAATGATTTAATGGTCTCTTGGTCGGTATGAATTTCTAAACGCACATATGGACGGCAGGAAACAAACACTCCATTAGAGTCAGTTGTGAACTTTATTCTGTGCCCATTATTATTTCATAAAGGAACATCCGAAGCGTTAGGGTACTTTCCGAATTCGCTGTAGGGACCTGAAAGCAAAGTTTGTATTTAGGTTATGGCATGTTATTTTTTTTTTCTATTTATAAATGATTGAACGATGAAATATTAAACCGCAAAAACTAAACGGGAGAGAAAATGCGTTTAATCCACTCACTACTCTCGAGACTCCACGATGCGCAGCAACTTCATCGCTGTCCGTTACCCCCGTGGCTATCAACACTCTCCCCATCGTCTATGCTGGGTATGACGGCGTCGTGCGACAGCGTGGAATGCACTAAGCCTCGTCAGCCCGAGAATGCAGCAAGCGTCGTGTTATCGCATTCGCAGCTTTGTAAACGCTTTTCCTCGCAAACATTTAGTTCACAGTACACGTACACCTAGTAAATGAATTTCCTATCAAGCAAAATTAGTTTTTCGGCACATTCTCTACCACTTAAATCGTAAACATGACCTACTTGACATTCAAAGCGGATCAACAAATTGTTTCGCCAACGGATGATAAAACAATTCAAAACAAAACTATGGTTGCAAAAAAACATACCTGAGTTTATAAGAAGTTATCTTCGTTGCCTTTCCAGTATCCTAGGACAATTGTTGAGGCGAATTATCACGGATTGAACACCCTAATATTGAGCCACGCCGCTGTCAGCTTACCACATCGAATGCAAATCACGCATAGGCGACGACGTGAGATCATTGGCGCTTTATAGTCAGGTTCTTTCCACCACTGAAAGATGTCATGTGAAACGCCATTAGCGTTTTTGCGTTCTGGTGGTCTATCGAGATATTCTGATGGTCTCACCCTGGCAACATCAAAACATTTTGGAAGTCTGTCGGTCACCACAAGAAACGTTTTGACGGTCTCTGAGCTACAAACAGAAGCCTCTAACGGTCAATCAGCGCCATCAGGGAAGGTTTGATGGTCTATCAAGCACCATCAAGTAAGCCTCTCGGACCATCGACAGTTAATTATGATGTTATGAGCGCGGTTACAAGTACTGTGTTAATATATATACGGCAAAAAAACAAAACAAAAAACGTACTTAAGACGGTTGTTTGGAGTTTTATAACATATTATTCGTAAAGTTCGTCGACATGTCGGCCTGAGACAGACGTTCTTCAAGTCTTGAAAAAGGTCTGTCTCAGGCGCCGTTCATAACGGACCATAAGTGCCGTTATGAACTTCTGGTGACCGTCAAACGCTTTTGACGATCCACCAGGGAAGTCCGATGGACCATTAGCTGCCATTGGAGCCCCTGACGTTCCACCAAAAGGCTTTCGATGGTCCATCAGGCAAGTCTGGTGGACCATAAGGTGCCATTGCTGCTCCTGACGGACCATCAAAACGCCTTTGATGGTCCGTCAGACGCTGTCAGTGAAGTCTTATGGACCATCATATCCCTTTAATGGTCTAATTCGAGGGTCTGATGGACCATCAGGCGCCATCAAGGAGGTCTTGTGGGGCATCAAGGAAGCCTGATGGGAAATCAGGGAAGTTTGATGGGCCATCAATAAAGTTTGATGGGCCATCAAGAAAGTTTGATGGACCATCAAGAAAGTTTGATGGACCATCATATTTTCTCGATGGTCTTTTCGATCAGGATAACCATGATTCACGAACCAGACGTGATGATAGTGACTGGAACCTGGCTTTCGTCGCGTATTCAAAATAACGAGCTTGATTACCAAACTACTCTGTAATAAAAAAAAGTATCGACAGTCGCGCGGTGGAGGGGAGGTTATCTTGTACAAAACATGGCTTAAAGCCACGCAGATCCCCGACGTGACAGACATGGAGTCATTATGGTGCAAACTTTGGTTTAAATGATTTCACCCTTTACGTTCGTCTGCTTACAGGCCTCCTAAGAATCTGCAATTTTTTCTGGCATTTTGAATACCTAGATGCAATCGGACGTTCAACTAAGGGATAAAATAATAAGGGCGTGAGATTTCAACCTGCCTCAAATTGCTTGGCCCGAATCTCAAGACCCTTTGGCATGTCTTGTCGCAATAAATACTATGTGCGACATTTGATTGAGTTATCAGTTGACCCAGATTGTGTCAGACTTTACACGTACAAAGGCTTCGCGCAGAGTGTCCCGGACCTGATATTTGTGAGACTACTTTCTAAAAGAGCTGGACGTGGCCACCGTTGACGGCATATATGACCGTGAGATTGTGGCAGTCTCGCTAAGACTAGATGCTTTGCCAAAATGTACCAGCGAAGTTATTCAAGTTTTCGATTTTCATCATGCTAATGATGTGGCCATCCTGGATTGTTTCAACTTTCACTTTGACCTTTCTTATGAAACTATTCCTGCGATCAAATACTTCCACGAATTACCTTTGCAATTTCTTCAAGTCATGATTTTTCATTCTATGAACACCTATATTTCAATTAAAACCAATAGAACCGCTCAGCGAATTCCTTGGATATATATAACCTGTGAAATCATTCATACCAAGCGAGAAACTAACATACTACCAAAAGAAGCAACGATTAGGAAAAGAGCATAGAAGAACAAATCACGAGCTTAACTAAAGAACATGGGAGTCAAATAAAGTGTGCCAAAAAGAAGTTTTACAACGACAGTCTTCATTCCTTTATCAGAACACCACCAGATAAGTTATGAAGGCACATAAATCCGCGCAAACGTAAGTAACGATACAGCAATCGTCAGCAAATCCGGACAAGGCTGACAACTTCAATGACTACTTCCTTTCAGTCTTAACACGTGACAACGACGTTGTGTCACCCTTCATGGATAGGCAATTGCAAGGTACCGTAGGCAACATCACAATTTCTGAGGATTTCATGCTCTGTCTTCATAATCTTGACCCTAAAGAACTGCCGGGCCAGATAACATTACAAACCCGTTTCTGATAAGGTACGCAGAATAGGTATCAAAATACTTATCACTAATATTTAGGAAATCGCTACATGAATCAATCATTCCACCCGACTGGAAGGAAGCTAAAGTTATTTCAATTCATAAATCGGGCAACAGAGGAAGCATTTCAAATTATAGACCGATTTCAGTTACATCAACGTGTTGAAAATTATGGGACGTGTTATCCTAAAGAAATAACTGCTTTCGTAGAAGAAAACAACGTGTTAGATATGTGCCAGCATGGTTCTCGATCCGGCTTGTCAGCCGTAACTCAGTGAATTGAAAGCGTGCACGTTCCTCGTTTATAAATCGTAAAAGCCAGGCGGATATCACATTTCTAGATCTGTCAAAATCATTTGAGAGGGTCTCCCATAATAAACTACTTTTCAAATTAACGGAAATTTTAGGCGATAGAGAACTTGTAACTTGGATTAAGGACTGACTACCTCTCTGGATGATCCCAGTTCGTGGAAATTAGCGGAAATAGCTCAAGTAATAAGTCAGTGTGCTCCGGAGTACCTCAGTGTTCAGTACTTTTTCCGCCTCCCTTCCTGCTCTTTAATAATGATATAACTGATAACATCGCCATCAACGTTAGACTCTTTGCATACGATTTTATAATACATCCTGAAATAGCGAATGCTTCGGACCACTTAACATTACAAAGCGCGTGGACAAGATATTAGACTGGTGTAAAAAATGGCAGATTGTTATTATCGGAGACGAAACAGTAACCATGTCTATAAGTAGGAGGGAAAATATAAGAATTAATTCTTATAAAATCAACTCAAACATAATACAAGACGTGCACGAGGTCAGGTACGTGGGGGGCATGCACATAAACGCAGTGGTCAAAAAAGCACCGACGTACTTTTGGTGCATAAGAAGGCGACAAAAATATGCGTCCCCGGATACTAAACTCTTGGCCTACACAACACTTCCCGGCCTGTGCTTGAATATACTAGCCCTGTTCGGTTCCCCTTCACAAGAATTAACATACAAAACTTGGACGAAGTGCAGAGGCTCGCTATAAGGTTCATTACCAATAAAATTGGCACGCGTGATTCACCATCTGAGCTGTGTGTGGCTCAGATGGTGGGCCACTAGAAAAGAAAAGCTAAGCTCACGAGATTGAAACTAATTTACCAAAAACCCAATAACTTGACTAAAATAGAAAAATCCAACTTCCTTATTCCCCACGATGGAAGAGCAAACCATTCGAACATAAGAAAATTATTCGAGGAGTTCCAACCTAAAAATAATTGCTTTATATTTTCATATTTTCTGCTAGCAGTCTAGGAGTCGTACGGTTTGCCGGAACACGTTGTCCACGCCAGCTCACTAACACAGTTCATGAATGGTGTCGAAGCGCTCTTGATGCGAAAATACCATGTCTCATCCACTCCGTTTGTTTGATATGTTTGTTGACCCCTGTTTTCTGTTTTCTGTTTTCTCTGTGCTGTGTTTTCTCTGTTTTCTCTGTGCTAGCACAGAGAAAACAGAGAAAACATCCTCATATGCATAAACACAGCTGTGTTTATGCATGTGTGGATTTGCACCACCCTATAAAAATCATACAATGAGGGTTAGGGGTATTGGTAAATAAATAAAAAATAAAAGAATAAATCAATAAATAAATAATAGAACCTCATTGATACGTTCCCGGTTTTTACGTTTTTCCGCCTTTTACGTTCAAAACCGCCGGTCCCAGCGAGCCTCCAGCACTTAAGGGCCATGTTTTTTTTTTCCCTTTTTTGTTCATATCGCGGTCTTTTCAGAAACGCATCAAAGAGGTTCTACTGCAGGATATTAACTCTATGGCCCAACCAGGCTGCGTGCTGTTTAGTTTTGCTGAGTTTTTTTTTTTTCGAGGCGACTGCGAACCATTTACTGTATTTCCCAGCCTATAGTTCACGCCCGGTGTATAGATCAACGTGCCTTTTACATGCAAGTCCACGTTTGCTTACACCAAGTGAGGGCACTACACGTGTGCAGAAACCTGATTAGCAGGACGTGAATTGTCTTTGCCTGCACCATTCCGACATTGGCGGCACCTCGGCGGCACGGCGTAGGAGCCGTGCACTGGTGTATAGTCTGAAGGGACGAGTTCGGTTGAAAAAGAAAATATTTTCCTTAGATCGCCTGTACGTGGTGCCCAGTCTGCGTGTAAAAAATTCTCAGGCAAAGCACATCTTGGCAAGTGCCTGCTTCATTAGCTCACGAAAAAACCTATATGACGCATTAATCACCGTTAGCCTATACTCAGTCATTAAAAAATACACATCTCACGTCTTATTGTAATAAACCACCAGAAAAACAGAACTTTATGTATAGTCCTCCTGTAGATAGTCTGCGCTGCATAAAAGTTTAACTTTTAAACATGTATAGTGTATTCATCATAATGTAACACCCAAGACTATGGTGCGAAAAAATTAAGAAACTTAAGTCGAAGAAAAAAAAAAACAACAGTAGGAGCACGTTTCAAACGCAGCTAAAAATGTTTATCTTTCTCTCTCATCATATATACCCGGTGTTGATATCGCCTACCTCTTGACGGATGCACTTTTAATGGAAACAACAACCGAATGACCTTTTTAACATAATCACGCGTACTCTCGCAACATATTCACACGTATTCTACTTGTCGTGTAGGATGTTGGAAAATGGTCACTGCAAGAACGAACTATGGCACACAAATGCTTAAAGGGAAGATGGGGCACTTCTACATTTGAGAAAAAACGTTTGAATTGCGTTCATTTGGCCTTTAGAATAACACATATCAAAATTATATTTCAATGCAACGCGCCGGAGAGCCACAAGAGCAATTTCAAAATAGGGCTGAAGCCCCGCCTCCCTAGCCTTGGGCAGCCAAAAGATCCGTCGATGACGTCACGGACAGCGACTGTCTTTCGCGTTTTTCTCGCGTTTAACAATACTTACGCAGCAAATGGTTTGGGTATTCGGGTTCACGGGGTAAAAATACACTAGAATTCATTCCAACTCATTTTTTCTAAGAAGCTCCGTAGCTTCCCTTTAAACATACTATCCCAAAAATGCTTAACCTACTTGAAGATGAAGGATTAGAATTCAGTACATTGTCCGTTAGAGAAATTCGACTGATTTTTTCCGTAATAGAATTTAAGTATGAACCAAACTTTTTGGGTCTCATAATTTCTGTCTGCAAATGGTCACTTTTTATGTTATAGCCAATGATAAAATATATTGTCTGAAACACGCTTTGTTGAATTGCGGTAATAAAAACTCTTAAGTGTTTTTCTTTCTTTTTTTTGAGTTGCTGCTATTGGTGCCTTGGAGCCGGTCAAGGACTTGTCAAGCTATGCCACACAGCTTTTTCATTTATTTATTTTATTTATTTATTTATACATGCTGCCGGCTGTCATTTGGGTGCCGAGGCAGGAGAGGGCACACAAGGCAGCAGGCAAGAAGAAAACCGCATCACAGGCTAGTGAAAGAAAAAGCATCTAGGACGCTGTAATAATGAGGCAAACTCCTGAACGGACTAGACATTGGCAATGTTGGCAGGGAGGCTATTCCATTCGTTAATGGTTCGTACGAAAAAGTAGTTTTTTAAACATTGGGTTCTGCTGTAAGGTACCACAATTGTGTTCGAGTGCTGGTGTCGTGTGTGACGGGATGTGTTAAATTGCATCAATATGTCGAATGAAAGGCGAGATGAGTCATGTACAATGGTATACAAAAGCTTTAGACAATTAATTTTGCGCCGGGTTGAAAGAAGCTCAATTTTCGACCTATTGTACAAGTTAGTGATAGAGCTCATTTTTCTGTATTCGTTGTAAATGAAGCGCAGTGCTTTCTTCTGTACCTCCTCGAGTCGATCAATATTAAGTTTAGTTGCAGGGTCCCAAACGACATCCGCGTATTCTAAAACAGGTCGTATTACTGTCGTGTAGATTGCAAGCTTGGTTGCAGGGGTACAGTGCTTCAGCCGCCTCTTCAATGACCATAGCTTTGTTGATGCCTTCTGAGCAGTCCAGGACATGCGGCTATTCCAACTGAGGTTCGAGGAGATAATGACACCTAAGTATTTGAATTCATGCACAACTTATGAATGGGAGTTTTGTATACAGTAGTTTAATTTCAAGGGTGACCTCTTGCGCGTTACTCTCATTCGTACACTTTTCGAGCTGTTTAGCAACATTTGCCATTCGTTACACCATTGAGAAATTGAACACAGGTACTTGTTTAAATTAAGTTGGCCACTGCTTGAAGCTATTTCAGTAAAAAGCACACAGTAATCTGCAAAAAACAGGAAGTGCACACGCTCGTCAACCGTCAAATTGTTTAGAAAAACAAAAAAGAGCAGTGGGCCCAGCACCGATCCTTGTGGAATGCCCGAGATAACTGATACAGATGGGCAACAAGCCCCACCTACTTCAACGAACTGATGACGGATGCTCAAGTATGAATCCAACCATCGCAGGAGCTTATCGTTTTTTAGAATCACTCTTAGCTTGATAAGTAGTTCGCTGTGTGACACGCGGTCAAAAGCCTTGGCGAAATCTAGGAATACTACATCCATTTGCCCCCCCCCCCCCCCTTTTTTGTCAACGACTTTTGCAAGGTCATTTGCTCTATAAGGAGCTGAGTTACCGTAGAGTAGCCACGCCGGAAACCATGCTGGCTCTCTGATAAAAAATTATTCGTTTTAAAATGTGACATGAGGTGACTAAATAAAAAGTGCTCTAGAACCTTGCTGCACGAGCAGAGCAAGGAAACGGGCCTGTAATTCGATGCGTCATGTTTATCTCCTTTCTTATGAATGGGTATAACTTTTGCCACTTTACACTGTTTAGGTACCACCTCTCTCTCTAGAGATCTGCTATAAATTAGAGAAAGAAATTTAGAACACCACTCAGCGTACCTTTTTAAAAAATAACATTAGGAATTTTGTCTGGACCGCAAGACTTTTTTTGTATTCAAATTTAGTAACGCAGAGAAGATTCCCTCCTCTCATAGTTGTATGTCTGGTACGTGAGCGAGTTTAATCGAGAACACAGGAACGAAGTTGTCACTTGCGGTGTACACAGAGGCGAAGTAGTCGTTAAATATCTTCGCGATTGAACTAGTATCAACAAATTCTCTCCCGTGATGAATGATATTGTTAACTGAGTGTCTTTAACCCGATATATGCCTCCAAAACTTCTGGAAATCGTTACGAAGGAAGTTCGACATTTTAACGTTGAAATACTCATACTGGGAATTCATAATGAATGTTCTCAATTTATGACGTAAGACAGTCAATTATATTTTGTTTCCTCGTTTTCTGCTTAGCCTATTGGCTTTCCTTTTGATTTTTAAAATCTCCCTCGTGATCAATATGTTATTCTTTTTAGTTCGCTTCCTACGAGATGGCACAAATCTTTCTATACACGTGTGCACCGCATTTTAGAAAGTGCACCATAGTTCGTCTACATTGCATCCCGGAACTGAAGCCGTATCAGCAAATCTGTCGAACGATAGCTCGAGGTAATCTATTACACTTTCGTTTTGTGCTCTCTTATAGTCCTGAAACTTTGATTTCTTATCAGGACAACGCTTGGGGACCAGTCCCGGACAATCAAAAACAACCATATGGTGGTCAGATAAACCCCCAGTGACCAGAAAGTGATCATCGGCAACATACAAATTCTGAGAAACAAAAACACGATCAAAAATCGAACTAGTAGAATCTGTGATGCGAGTGGGACTTGACACTATTTGCGTTAGATTATATGCGAAGGCAATATCAATTAAAGCATCGGAATGTTTACAAGAGGCCACTGTGGTCATCGAAGGCCAATCGATGTTTGGGAGGTTGAAGTCACTCCCCATAATTGTATTCATGAAACTCTTAGATTGCTGCTGTAAGAAGTCTTGAAGTTCATACATCACAGCTATGCCAGCACTTGGTGGCCTGTAAACAGTTCCAACAAGAAGAAATGAGTTACAGAAAAAAAGTTTCACCCATAGAGCCTCAGCTGTGAACTTCGCATTTAGCTGGAAAAAATCAATGCTATTTTTGCTACCGATTGCGACCCCCCCTCCCCGGGAGGAACGGTCCTTACGAACAATTTTATAAGAACAATCTCAATATCAGATCTACCATCCGTGAGCCAAGTCTCTGTAACTATTATTACATCGGAGTCATAACTGAGAATTATATCTTCGAATTCCACCGTTTTATTTACAATGCTTCTAGCGTTTAAGTTAATTAATCGAAGCGGTTTATTAGTTGCAGCGTGGGGATTATTAGTTACAATACAAGGATTATTTTCAGGAGCAGTTGACGGAAACCGCTCTAGAACTGGGGGGGGGGGGGGGGGGGGGGGGGGGTACTGGCCCAGAGTCAATTAGTATCTTCTCGCCTGGTATAAGTTAGTGGCACTCTTTCGTTCGCAATGTCATCCCAGCGGAAAGCCTTGCCATTTACTTTTATTTTGTTGAAAGATAACTTTATAGCCATTTTTTCGTACACACTTAAAATTTTTACACCCTTATTCGTGTAAATGGCTCGTCCTCTGGCTAACGCCTTTATTCGTGTAAGGGTGTTAGCCGCCGGAGGTGGTGAAAATCGTGTTAACTGCTAACACCCTAAAAACAATATGGCGGCCAGTATGCGACAGGCGATACGAGCGTGGCGAGCCGTACGCGGCTTCTCGCCGGAGCAAGAGCATACGGCTCGCACGCTCGTTTGGTGTCATCTGTAGGCGCAAAAAACTTTCCAAACATCTCTATGTCCAAGCGCCAACACCGCAAATAATACGAGTAAGGCCGAAACCGCTGGAGAATGAACAGCCAAGACTGTCGCCGAAGTCTCGCTCGGCCTGCTCGATGCCGGTCGCATTTTCATCGCATCAGAAGCGCTTATAAAGAAGGGATAGCTTTACAAAACACTGACAGGCTGGCTTTATTGAACAAAACGCCCACTTGCCGTGGACGACAAGTTGACAACGAATCGCTCCGACACCCTCTGTCGACAGCGGCTAGGAGGTATCGCACTCGCGCTCCGTGTGGCTCTCGATTAACTATTGCCTGTGCTCACCTCTGTTACGTGCGTTATCCACTCATGAACGCTTGTGCGTGAACAGCGGCATTCAGCACCTAGAACACGCGCTGGGGAAGCCGCCTAACCTCCTTTTGTTGCAATCAGGCAGCATAACACGACGACACAGCTACCAGCGGAACCGAAAAAACTCGGAGCGATCAACACGACGGATGGACTAATGGCATCCAGCCCTCTAATAGTTATAGACCACCAACCGGCACACTTTTCAAATTGGGCGGCGACAACCCCCATCTAGCGACGAAAAAAAAAAGTGATCAACATTTGAAAAAAGAAAACTGCAGTTTTTTGCTGCCCACCGCGCGGTTACATTCACTTACGACATGGACATACACACAACACTGTACATACACAAGGGCATACAAGCACTGATCAATTGCACAACACACAACAAATGGTACATACATCCTACTTATACCAACAAGTGCCCCGAGCGGTATATATGCCCTCCTATTTCGCGCATCGGTTAGCCCGGTGACCACGCTGGTCTTAATCAGGATATGAAAAGATTACGGCAATTTTATTTTTCAATAATATTTTTTCTGCATTTGTCTTAGGTAGGTACACATATCCCTTAATAACTTCTTACAGCATAATGTATTATAATGATACGCGCCTAACTTCTAGTAACTCAACGTGAGTGACGAGAAAAAAAAAAATCGTGTGAATTCTGTCTGGCAACCACACTCGCGGCGTGGTTGCTATGGCGACGCTGTCGATACGCGCGCCGGCAGCCGTCCAGCTGGTTCGGCCGTTCGGCTACGGCCGAGTGCGCGAGTCCACGGTGAACGCCGCGAACGCAATCGAGAAAACAAAGCGTCGACTACTGAAGCTGTACGTAATCTAGTTTCCGCCCGTTCGCTGCCGAATTCTTCGTAGTCTTCTTCCGCCCGCTCGAAAGGGAGCAGCCTACCAGTCCGATTACCGCCGTGGCTTCAGTGGCTTCATCTTCGGAGGGAACTGTCAACTGAATTAGTTCCAAAACGCGGGTGCAACAGGCAGCGCAACGTGGCGCGGTCCACGCACAAAGTCGGTAAGTAAACAAAACACTCAATGCCGTTCCATTCTTTTTTTTTTTTTTTTTTTTTTTTCTTTACGGGGGCGTGCGGTGTTTCTGGGTGGCTCAAGGTATGGGAAAGCAACCGGAAAATCGGCGCCTGATCGACCATGGGGTGAAAATTTCAAGGCGTATCGTATGCAAACGACAGCGTTTGCCGGTGGAAGACTCGGTCGTCCGTGGCGAACGCATTTTTAGTATTTTTAAGGATGTTCTAGCTGCAAAAGAAAGGAGCGCCTTAAAATTTCACTAGGTAAAATACACTGCTGAGGAAACGACGCCCCTTTGCGTGCAGGCGCCGATTTTTCCGGCAGAGTTTAGCACGCTGTGAAATGCAGTGTGCATTTAGGGAGAGTTTTGGCATAATATAATGTTGCTCATTGGAAATAAAAAAAAAAGAAATGCTGGCATCATATGTTTACAGACTCTTAGTTATTTTTGGAATCTTAAGTACCCTTTTTGTGGCAGGTATTGGACGCCAGCACATTTTACGTAGGAACGAAGAGTGGAATCGGGCCAATTGCCTTCCACATTAACATCAAATGAGTGCTGTGAAAGCAAAGAAGAAAATGAGGGTGAAACAGTTCCTGCAGTAGTAAGTGCCAGAAACAAGAAAAGTGCCCCGAAGTGGAAAATATACTCCCTTGAAAAGGATCCAAAAGAAATAGAAGTTATCAGGTATACCACCGAGCGTCACAGACCTGGACACTCCATTTCAGTTTTTTAAATGCCCATGCCCTGATCAGCTGTTTACAGCAATATTTGAGGGGACCATCCTGTATTGAACTCAATGCCACCATGAACACCATTTTCGGGTTCTGGTCACACCTCCACGCAGGATGTCCTGCTTCAGATCAAGGAGGATATCCTTGACAGAATCTCCTGTACGACAACGCGGGCGGTCCTGGCCCTGGATATAAAGGGCGCCTTTGACAACGTCAGTCACACGCTGGTGTTCGAGAACTTGGCCTCAACTAGGTGCGGGCCCTGGATGTATGATTATGTGCGGGACTTCCTGAGCAACTGGATGGCCACCATCGGAATCGAGTCCATCCGCACAAGCACCATCCCGATACCGAGCAAGGGCAATCGGCAAGGCTCGGTCCTGTCACCCACCTTGTTACCTGGTGATGTGCAAGCCGCCTCCTCTACTGGAACGGATTCCCCGGATGAAGCATACACTCTATGCCACTCTATGTGGACGACCTGACGATTTGGGCTACGTCGGGATCGAACAGCGGGAGGCAAGACTTCCTCGAAGAAGTCATTGAGACGGTGCAGAACTACCTCGAGGCCGGCAACCTCCAGCGCGCCCCCGATAAGTCTCAGCTGTTGCTCCTCCGCGCGGGCAAGCCAATTCCCGAAGAAGAAGAAGGCGGACATCCGCCTCACGTTAAAGGATGGTACCCCCGTGCCGGTGGTGAAGCGGGTTCGGATCCTGGGCCTTCACCTCCAGCGGGACGGCGGACCCAAGTACACGGTCGACCGACTCGTCAAGACAACCACGCAAGTCATGCGCATGGTGAGAAGGATAACGAGTCACAGACACGGGCTCGAGGAGTCGGACCTGATCCGGCTGACCCAACCACTCGTCGTGAGCCACATCGCCTGCGCAAATCCGTATCTCAACCTGCTGTCGAGAGGTAAGGGCAAGATGGACGTGATTATTCACAAGGGGTACTAGATGGCACTGGGGGTGCCGCCATACGCGTCGAACGCCAAGCTCCGGCGGCTAAGTGTAAACAACACCTTCCAGGAACTCGTCAACGTGCACCTAGCCAGTCAGTGGGAGCACCTGGCCCTCACACTGAGTGGGCGGCATGCCCCGAGCTCGCTCGGCATCCCCATCCCCGCATCGCAATGCGAGGCTATCCAGCTGCTGCTGGCCCTTTGGGACAAGATCCAGGTGGCACCAATCCCGTGGAAGCTGAACCCATCTTTGCATCCAGGTCGCTGGATGGCTCCCGGTCCCTTGATTCCGCTTGGTCCCGTCGTGTAGCATAGGGCCCCTGGTAGCAATTGGGCTAGCCCAGCATTTAAGCATACTCCAGCCTCTTTGTATGTAAAGCAAAACAATTACTGCAACTGAATACTTCTTACCTGACAATAATCGTAGTTTGCACTGCTCAATGCCCTTCTGTTTTATCTAAAATACCGCAACTAAATACTTCGAGTACTGGTCGGAGCACTGCGGTGCAGGTGAAGTTTCTACTTCACCTGTTGCCCTTCTGTTTTATCTAAAGTACCGCAACTAAGTACTCCGAGTACCGGTCGGAGCTCTGCGGTGCCA